AATTTCTAAAAATCCTTCTCTTTTATCATTTAGCACCCCAAAATTCTCCTTTTTCACCCCAAAATGTGGTGCTTTAACCCCCCAGAAGGTGGGGCTGGCTGGAAAAAAGGGCTTTTTTCGGCTCAAGAGAATTCTTTTTTGCCCAAATTTTTTCCTTTCCAAATCCCGTTTTTTTACCCCAAACCCCATTTTTTCCCTCCCCAACCCCTTTTTTTTGCCCCAAATCCCGTTTTTTTTGCCCAATGCCCCCATTTCCCCCTCAAAAACTCCCTTATTTCCCCCAAAATTAACATTTTTCCCTCCCCAAACCCCATTTTTTCCTCCCCAAACCCCCTTTTTCCTCCCCAAATCCCCTTTTTCCTCCCCAAATCCCCTTTTTTCCTCCCCAAATCCCATTTTTTTTACCCCAAACCCCATTTTTCCCTCCCCAAACCCCTTTTTTTTTACCCCAAACCCCATTTTTCCTCCCCCAAACCCCATTTTTCCCTCCCCAAACCCCATTTTTTTTACCCAAACCCCATTTTTTTTACCCAAACCCCATTTTTCCCTCCCCAAACCCCATTTTTTTTACCCCAAACCCCATTTTTCCTCCCCAAACCCCATTTTTTTTACCCAAACCCTGCTGTTTTTTGTTCCCCTCCCCTCCCCCGCTCGAGGCTGGGGTCGGTGGCGCTGCCTGAGCCGATTTCGGGTGTTTTTGCCCCAGAACACCATCGACACCCTGAACATGCAGGTGGATCAGTTCGAGAGCGAGGTGGAGTCGCTGTCCGTGCAGACCCGCAAGAAGAAGGGGGACAAGGATGTGAGTCACCCCCAAAATCACCCTAAATCACCCTAAATCACCCCAAAACACAACAAACTCACCCTAAATCACCCCAAAACACCCCAAAACCACCCTAAATCACCCTAAATCACCCCAAAACACACCAAAATCACCCTAAATCATTCCAAAATCACCCTAAATCACCCCTAAATCACCCCAAAATACCCTGAAATCACTCCAAAATCACCCTAAATCGCCCAAAATCACCACAAAACACCACAAATCAACCTGAATTCACCCCAAAATAACCCCAAAACATCCCTAAATCACCCCAAAACACACCAAAATCACCCCCAAACACTCCAGAATCACCCTAAATCACCCCAAAATCAACCCTGAGCACCCCAAAACACACCAAAATCACCCCAAAATCACCCTGAAATCACCCCAAAATACCCCAAAACATCCTGAAATCACCCTGAATCACCCCAAAACACCCCAAAATGATTCCAAAATGCCTCCAAATCACCCCAAAACACCCTGAAATCACACCAAAAAACCCCAAAATCACCCCAAAACATCCCAAAACAGCCCTAAATCACCCCAAAACATCTCAAAATTACCCCAAAACCACTCCAAAATCACCCCAAATCAACCTGAAATCACCCCTAAGCACCCCAAAATCACCTCAAATCACCCCAAAACACCCCAAAATGCCTCCAAATCACCCCAAAACACCCAAATCACCCCAAAAAACCCCAAAATCACCCCAAATCACCCCAAACCAGCCCACCCTGAAGCGTCAGGTGGAGCGGCACCGCTTCCCTCTGCGTGTGCTGGGGGTGGATCCTGGGGGGATCAGGGGGTGTCTGACCCCGTTTTTGCTCAGTTATTGACATTTTTACCCCAATTTTGGCTGTTTTTTCTCATTTTTGTTAATTTTTGCCCGTTTTTGGGTGTTTTTGCCCCGGAAACAGGACCGTATCGAGGCTCTGAAGCTGCCAGGTGAGCGGCACCGCTTCCTCTGCGTGTGCTGGGTGGATCCCGGGGGGATCAGGGGGTGTCTGACCCCGTTTATCCCATTTTTTACCCCAATTTTCCCATTTTTTGGCTGTTTTTTCTCATTTTTGCCCATTTTTGTCCATTTTTACCCCAGAAACAGGACAGAATCGAGGCTCTGAAGCGTCAGGTGGAGCGGCACCGCTTCCCTCTGCGTGTGCTGGGGGTGGATCTGGGGGGATCAGGGGGTGTCTGACCCCGTTTTTGCTCAGTTATTGACATTTTTACCCCATTTTTGGCTGGTTTTGCTCACCCCAACTCATTCCAAAACACACCAAAATAGCGGCACCCGCTCCTCTGCGCGTGCTGGGGTGGATCCCGGGGGACTAGGGGTGCTCCGACCTCTGTTATCCCATTTTTTACCCCAATTTTCCCGTTTTTTCTCATTTTTGTTAATTTTTCCTCGCTTTGTCCATTTTTACCCCAGAAGCAGGACCGTACGAGGCTCTGAAGCTGCCAGTGAGCGCACCGCTTCTCTAGGCGTGTGCTGGTGGAGCCCGGGGATCAGGGGGTGTCTGACCCCGCTTATCCCATTTTTTACCCTAATTTTCCCATTTTTTCCATTTTTCTCATTTTTTCCCGTTTATGTCCATTTTCCCCAGAAACAGGACAGAATCGAGGCCCTGAAGCGCAGGTGGAGCGGCACCGCTTCCTCTGCGTGTGCTGGTGGATCCCGGGGGATCAGGGGGTGTCTGACCCCATTTTTGTCTATTGATATTTTTGGCTGGTTTTTGCTCATTTTTTCTCATTTTTTCCCATTTTTGTGTGTTTTTACCCCAGAAGCAGGACAGGATTGAAGCCCTGAAGCGGCAGGTGGAGCGGCACCGCTTCCCTCTGCGTGTGCTGGGGGTGGATCCCGGGGGGATCAGGGGGTGTCTGACCCCGTTTATCCCATTTTTTACCCCAATTTTCCCGTTTTTTCTCATTTTTGTTAATTTTTTCCCGTTTTTGTCCATTTTTACCCCAGAAGCAGGACCGTATCGAGGCTCTGAAGCGTCAGGTGGAGCGGCACCGCTTCCCTCTGCGTGTGCTGGGGGTGGAGCCCGGGGGGATCAGGGGGTGTCTGACCCCGTTTATCCCATTTTTTACCCCAATTTTCCCATTTTTTTCCCATTTTTTCTCATTTTTTCCCGTTTTTGTCCATTTTTCCCCCAGAAACAGGACAGAATCGAGGCCCTGAAGCGGCAGGTGGAGCGGCACCGCTTCCCTCTGCGTGTGCTGGGGGTGGATCCCGGGGGGATCAGGGGGTGTCTGACCCCATTTTTGCTCAGTTATTGACATTTTTGGCTGGTTTTTTCCCATTTTTTCTCATTTTTTCCCAATTTCCCATGTTTTTACCCCAGAAGCAGGACAGGATTGAAGCCCTGAAGCGGCAGGTGGAGCGGCACCGCTTCCCTCTGCGTGTGCTGGGGGTGGATCCCGGGGGGATCAGGGGGTGTCTGACCCCGTTTCTGCCCATTTATTGATATTTTTGGCTGGTTTTGGCTGTTTTTGTTAATTTTTTCCCATTTTTGTGTGTTTTTACCCCAGAAACAGGACAGAATCGAGGCTCTGAAGCGCCAGGTGGAGCGGCACCGCTTCCCTCTGCGTGTGCTGGGGGTGGATCCCGGGGGGATCAGGGGGTGTCTGACCCCGTTTTTGTCCATTTTTTACCCCAATTTTCCCGTTTTTTCTCATTTTTGTTAATTTTTTCCCGTTTTTGGGTGTTTTTCCCCCAGAAACAGGACAGAATCGAGGCTCTGAAGCGGCAGGTGGAGCGGCACCGCTTCCCTCTGCGTGTGCTGGGGTGGATCCTGGGGATCAGGGGGTGTCTGACCCCGTTTTTGCTCAGTTATTGACATTTTTACCCCATTTTTGGGTGGTTTTTCCCATTTTTTTGCCGTTTTTTCTCATTTTTTCCCATTTTTGTGTGTTTTTCCCCCAGAAGCAGGACAGGATTGAAGCCCTGAAGCGTCAGGTGGAGCGGCACCGCTTCCCTCTGTGTGTGCTGGGGGTGGATCCCGGGGGGATCCAGGGGTGTCTGACCCCGTTTTTGCCCATTTATTGATATTTTTACGCCATTTTTTCCCATTTTTTCCCATTTTTGTTAATTTTTTCCCAATTTCCCATGTTTTTCCCCCAGAAACAGGACCGTATCGAGGCCCTGAAGCGTCAGGTGGAGCGGCACCGCTTCCCTCTGCGTGTGCTGGGGGTGGATCCCGGGGGGATCAGGGGTGTCTGACCCCGTTTTTGCCCATTTATTGACATTTTTACGCCATTTTTTCCCATTTTTTCCCATTTTTTTAAATTTTTTTCCCATTTTTGTGTGTTTTTACCCCAGAAGCAGGATAGAATTGAAGCTCTGAAGCGGCAGGTGGAGCGGCACCGCTTCCCTCTGCGTGTGCTGGGGGTGGATCCCGGGGGGATCCGGGGGTGTCTGACCCCGTTTTTGCTCAGTTATTGACATTTTTACCCATTTTTACCCATTTTTGTTAATTTTTTTCCCATTTTTGGGTGTTTTTCCCCCAGAAGCAGGACAGGATTGAAGCCCTGAAGCGGCAGGTGGAGCGGCACCGCTTCCCTCTGCGTGTGCTGGGGGTGGATCCCGGGGGGATCAGGGGGTGTCTGACCCCGTTTTTGCTCACTTATTGGTATTTTTGGCTGGTTTTTCCCATTTTTTTGCCGTTTTTTCTCATTTTTGCCCATTTTTGTCCATTTTTGCCCCAGAAGCAGGACAGAATTGAAGCTCTGAAGCGGCAGGTGGAGCGGCACCGCTTCCCTCTGCGTGTGCTGGGGGTGGATCCCGGGGGGATCAGGGGGTGTCTGACCCCGTTTTTGCTCAGTTATTGACATTTTTACCCCATTTTTGGGTGGTTTTTCTCATTTTTTTTAATTTTTTCCCATTTTTGTGTGTTTTTACCCCAGAAACAGGATAGAATTGAAGCCCTGAAGCGTCAGGTGGAGCGGCACCGCTTCCACGTGCGGATGCTGGAGACGCTGCTGCGAATGCTGGACAACGACTCCATCCCGGTGGACCCCGTGCGGAAGCTGAAGGACGATGTGGAATATTACGTGGATTCCTGCCAGGAGCCCGACTTCGAGGAGAACGAGTTCCTTTATGACGACCTCGACCTCGATGACATCCGTAGGGATACAGGAATGGGGTGAAAAATGGGGAAATTGGGAAAAATGGGGAAAAAATGGGGAAAAAATGGAAAAAAATGCAGGGAAAACGGGGAAATGGGGGGGAAATGGGGAAAATTGGGGGTTTCTGGAGGAGAACGAGTTCCTTTATGATGACCTGGACCTCGATGACATCCGTAGGGACACGGGAATGGGGTGAAAAATGGGGAAATTGGGAAAAACAGGGGAAAAATGGGGAAAAACGGGGGAAAAATGGAAAAAAATGGGAAAATTGGGGGTTTGGAGAGGGGAAATGGGGGTTTCTGGAGGAGAACGAGTTCCTCTACGATGACCTCGACCTCAATGACATCCGTAGGGACACGGAAATGGGGGAAAAATGGGGAAATTGGGAAAAATGGGGAAAAAATGGGGAAAAAATGGAAAAAAGGGGAAAATGGGGAAAAAATGGGGATTTATTAGGAAAAAATGGGGATTTGGGAGGGGAAAATGGGGAAAATTGAGGGAAAATGGGGGTTTCTGGAGGAGAACGAGTTCCTTTATGATGACCTCGACCTCGATGACATCCGTAGGGATACAGGAATGGGGTGAAAAACGGGGAAATTGGGGAAAATGGAGAAAAAATGGGGATTTATTAGGAAAAAATGGGGAAAAATGGGGATTTGGAGAGGGAAAAGGGGGATTTTGGAGGAAAAAACCTGGGGAAAATGAAGATTTTGGGGGGGAATTGGGATTTGGGGTGGATTTTGGGGGGTTTTGGGGTTGGATTTGGGTGGTTTTGGGGGTGGATTTTGGGGAATTTGGGGTTGGATTTTGGGAGTGAATTTAGGGTGGATTTTGGGGAATTTGGGGTTGGATTTTGGGAGTGAATTTAGGGTGGATTTTGGGGGAATTTGGGGTTGGATTTTGGGAGTGAATTTAGGGTGGATTTTGGGGAATTTGGGGTTGGATTTTGGGAGTGAATTTAGGGTGGATTTTGGGGAATTTGGGGTTGGATTTTGGGAGTGAATTTAGGGTGGATTTTGGGGGACTTGGGGCAGTTTGGGGTGGATTTTGGGGTTGGATTTGGGTGTTTTTGAGGGTGGATTTGGGGGGAGTTTGGGAGTGAATTTTTGGCAGGTTTAGGGTGGATTTGGAGGTGGATTTTTTGGGGGTTTTGGGATGCATTTTGGGGAGGGTTTGGGGGTGGATTTTTTGGGGGGTTTTAGGGTGGATTTTGGGGGCTTTGGGGTGGATTTTGGAGTGATTTTGGGGTTTTGGGGGTGCATTTTGGGGGGTTTTGGGATGCATTTTGGGAGGGTTTGGGGTGGATTTTGGGGGTTTTGGTGTATTTTGGGGGCCCTGTTGCCCACGGGGCCCTCCTCGTGCCCCCCAGCACAGCCTCTGGTGGATTTTGGGGTGGATTTTGGGGGTTTGGGGTGGATTTGGGGGTCTGGGGTGGATATTGGAGTGGATTTTGGGGGGTTTTGGGGTGGATTTTGGGGGTTTTGGGATGCATTTTGGGGAGGGTTTGGGGTGGATTTTGGGGGTTTGGGGTGGATTTGGGAGTGGACTTTTGGGGGTTTTAGGGGTGGATTTCGGGGGGTTTTAGGGGTGGATTTTGGGGGGGTTGGAGGTGGATTTTAGGGGTGGATTTTAAGGGGTTTTGGGGTGGATTTGGGTGGATTTTGGGGTGGATTTTGGGTGTATTTGGGGTGGATTTTGGAGTGGATTTTTGGGGGGTTTTGGGGTGGATTTTGGGGGGTTTGGGTGTATTTTGGGGGCCCTGTTGCCCACGGTGCCCCCTCCCCTCGTGCCCCCCCAGCGCAGGCTCTGGTGGATTTTGGGGTGGATTTGGGGGTTTGGGGTGGATTTTGGGTGTTTGGGGTGCATTTTGGGGGGTTTTGGGATGCATTTTGGGGAGGGTTTGGGGGTGGATTTTGGGGGTTTGGGGTGGATTTTGGGAGGTTTTGGGGGTCTGTTGCCCACGGTGCCCCCTCCCCTGGTGCCCCCCCCAGCGCAGGCTTTGGTGGCCACGTCCCCCGAGCCACTCGCAGATGGAGGACGAGATCTTCAACCAGAGCAGCAGCACCCCCACCTCCACCACCTCCAGCTCCCCCATCCCCCCAGCCCCGCTGCCAACGCTGTGAGTGACCCCAAAAAATCTGCACCCCAAAAACCCCCTGAAAAAATCTGCACCCCAAAACACCCAAAAATGACCCAAAACCACCCCCACCTCCACCACCTCCAGCTCCCCCATCCCCCAGCCCCGCTGCCAACGCTGTGAGTGACCCCCCAAAAAATCTGCACCCCAAAACCCCTGAAAAAAACCCTACCCCAAAACACCCAAAAATGACCCAAAACCACCCCAAAACCACCCCACCTCCACCACCTCCAGCTCCCCATCCCCCCAGCCCGCTGCCAACGCTGTGAGTGACCCCCCAAAAAATCTGCACCCCAAAAACCCCCTGAAAAAAATCTGCACCCAAAACACCCAAAAACACCCCAAAATACCCCAAAACCACCCCCACCTCCACCACCTCCAGCTCCCCATCCCCCCAGCCCCGCTGCCAGCGCTGTGAGTGACCCCCAAAAATCTGCACCCCAAAAACCCCCTGAAAAATCTGCACCCAAAAACACCCAAAAACACCTCAAAATACCCCAAAACCACCCCAAAACCACCCCCACCTCCACCACCTCCAGCTCCCCCATCCCCCAGCCCCGCTGCCAACGCTGTGAGTGACCCCCAAAAATCTGCACCCCAAAAACCCCCTGAAAAAATCTGCACCCCAAAAAACCCAAAAATGACCCAAAACCCCCTGAAAAATCTGTACCCAAAAACCCCCTGATAAAAACTACCCCCAAAAACACCCCCAAAATACCCTAAACCTTCCCCAGCCCCCCAAAACCCTCCAAACCACCCCCAAAATACCCCCAAACCACCCCAAAATACCCCAAAACCCCCAAAAATCCCAAAACATCCCCAACCCCCCCAAAAATCCCAAAATACCCCAATCCCCAAAACCAGCCCAAAAATACCCCAAAATATCCCCAAAACCACCCCAAAAAATCCCAAAATATCCCCAAAACCACCCAAAAATCCCAAAATATCCCCCAAAATCACCCCAAAAATACCCCAAACCACCCTAAACCCCCAAACCACCCCAATCCCCCAAACATCCCAAAATACCCCAAACCCACCCCAAAAAATCCCAAAACACCCCAAAACCACCCCCAAATTACTTAACCCCCAAAAATCCCAAAATATCCCCCAAACCCCCAAAATACCCCAAAACCACCCCAAAAAATCCCAAAATATCCCCCAAACCCCCCCAAAATACCCCAAAACCACCCCAAAAAATCCCAAAATATCCCCAAAATTAACCCAACCCCCCCAAACCTCCCTTGGGGGTCTCCCCAATTTCAGGGGGGGTCTCCCCAATTTCGGGGGGGTCTCCCAAATTTCGGGGTCCCCCCAAAATCCCCCCCCCTTTTCCCCCCCAGGAGAACTCCGAGGACGACAAAAAACGGGGCCGCTCCACGGACAGCGACCTGGGCCAGGTGGGACCCCAAACTGGGGGGGACCCCAAATTTCAGGGGGGAGGGACCCCAAACCTAGGGGAGACACCCCAAAATTTAGGAGGGATAACCCAGATTTAGGGGGACCCCAAATTTAGGGGAGAGGAGTCTAAATTAGAGGGGAGACCCCAAATTTAGGGGAGACCCCAAATTTAAGGGGGAGAGGACCCCAAATTTGAGGGGAGAACCCCAAAATTTAGGGGGGATAACCCCAATTTAGGGGGGACCCAAAGTTAAGGGGGGAGGGACCCCAAATTCAGGAAGGGGAGCCCCAAATTCAGGGGGGGGGACCCCAAATTTAGAGGAGAGGGTCTAAATTATAGGGGGGAGACCCCAAATTTAGGGGGGAGAGAACCCCAAAATTTAGGGGGAGGGGACTCCAAATTAGGGGGGAGGGACCCCAAAATTTAGGAGGGATAACCCAAATTTAGGAGGGGGGGAACCCAAAGTTAAGGGGGGAGGGACCCAAAATTTAGGAAGGGGAGCCCCAAATTTAGGGAGAAAGAACCCCAAATTTAGGAGGGAACCCGAATTTAGGGGGGACCCCAAATTTAGGGGAGAGGGTCTAAATTAGAGGGGGGAGACCCCAAATTGGGGAGGGGGATCCAAATTTAGGGGAGACCCCAAATTTAGGGGGAACACAAATTTAGGGGAGGAGACCCCAAATTTAGGGGAGGAACCCAAATTTGGGGGAGAACCCAAATTTAGGGGAGACCCCAAATTTAGGGGGAACCCAAATTTAAGGAGGGGACCCAAAGTTAGGGGAGAACCCAAAATTAGGGGACCCCAGAATTTAGGGGAGAACCCCAAAATAGGGGGAGGGGATCCAAATTTAGAGCAGGGGACCCCAAAATTTAGGGGGATAACCCAGATTTAGGGGGACCCCAATTTAGGGGGAACCCCAAATTTTGGAGGGAGGATCCCAATTTTGGGGGAAGACCCCAAATTTGGGGAGATTTTAATTATAGGGGAGATCCCAATTTTGGGGAGGGGACCTAAATGGGGGAGGAGACCCTAAATGGGGGAGACCCCAATTCTGGGGGGAACCCCAAATTTGGAGGAGGGGGACACCCCAAATTTAGGGGGAAGGATCTTGATTAAAGGGGGAGATCCCAATTTGGGTGGGGGAGACCTAAATGTGGGGGAGGGGGTGCATGTACCCACCCCTCTCCCCAAATTTTGACCCCTCCCCCAAATTTTGACCCCTCCCCCAAATTTGACCCTCCCCAGATTTGTGACCTCCATTTTCTGTTGCAGTCTCGGCCAAGAGCGGGCGGCCCCCACCCCCACGCCCCTCCCCGCCGCCCTCCTCTCGCCCTCCCCTCCGGCTCCGGCCCCGCCCCTCCCCGCCCTCGGCTCCGGCCCCGCCCCCACCGGGGAGGGGGAGAGGCCTCGGAGGGTCGCCCTCCCACCCGGGGGCCTCGGGGGCCCCAAGGGGAGGAGGAGGAGGAGGAGGGGGGAGGCGGGGGAGGAGGGGCCGGCGTGGGGAGGGGCAGGGGGAGGGCGGGGGCGCCCACCCCCAGCACCCCACCCCTACGCCCAGGCCGTGGCCCCTCCCCAGCGCCTCCCAGCGCCCCCAGCCCAGACCCTGAGCGCCCCCAGGGAGGCAAACAGAACGGGGGGCCACCAGTGAGTACTGGGAGGGACTGGGAGGGACTGGGAGGGGTTAATGGGGGCAAACAGACGCAGGGCCACCAGTGAGTGCTGGGAGGGACTGGGAGGGACTGGGGATGGATGGGAGGGGCTACTGGGGGGGCAAACAGAACGGGGGGCCACCAGTGAGTACTGAGGATAGAGCTGAGGAGGGACTAATGGGGGGCAAACAGAGGCGGGGGCCACCAGTGAGTACTGGGGACTGGGAGGGTTACTGGGGGGGCAAACAGAACGGGGGGCCACCAGTGAGTACTGGGATAGACTGGGAGGGTTAATGGGATGGATTGGGGCAAACAGAACGGGGGGCCACCAGTGAGTACTGGGATAGACTGGGAGGGACTGGGGGGTTAATGGGATGGACTGGGATGAGACTGGGGGGCAAACAGAACGGGGGGGCCACCAGTGAGTACTGGGATGGACTGGGAGGGACTGGGGGGGTTAATGGGAGGAACTGGGATAGACTGGGATGGACTGGGAGGGACTGGGGGGCACTGGGAGGAGGTAATGGGAGCGGGGAGGCCACCAGTGAATAGTGGGAGGACTGGGGGGCACTGGGAGGGGTTAATGGGATGGACTGGGGGGCAAACAGAACGGGGGTCCACCATTGAGTACTGGGAGAGCACTGGGATGGACTGGGGAGACTGGGATAGACTGGGAGGGACTGGGGCGCACTGGGAGGAACTGGAAGGGACTGGGGGCCTAATGAATGGGGAGCACTAGGAACTGGGGGACACTGGGTGGTACTGATAGACTGGGGGCACTGGGATGGACTGGGGAGCACTGGGATGGACTGGGGGGCTAATGGGACTGGGAGGCACTGGGATAGACGGGGGCACTGGGATAGACTGGGGGCACTGGATGGACTGGGGGTGGCACTGGGGGACTGGGATTTTTGGGGGTTTTGTTTTTGGGATGGGGGTTGTGTTTTGGGGTAGGGGGTTGTTTTTGGGGGTCTTCCCCTGACCCCCTGCCTCCCCCCCAGGTTACAGCTCCGTGGTGGCCTAAAATGCCCCGAGCCGGGATGAGCGGGGGCCCCAACCCCCTGGGGCAGCCCCCGGGCCACAACCCCCAACAGCACCCCCGTGAGTACCCAAAAAATGGAGACCCCACCCCAAAAACCCCCCCATCCTACAAAAATCCACCCTAAAAATCCCCATCCCAAAAATCCCCCAATCCCCTGGGAACAGCCCCGGGCCACAACCCCCAACAGCACCCGTGAGTACCCAAAAATGGAGACCCCACCCCCAAAAACCCCCATCCCAAAAATCCATCCTAGAAAAACCCATCCTAAAAACCCCCCATCCTAAAAAATCCATCCTAAAACCCCCATCCCAAAAATACCCACCAAAAAATCCATCCTAAAACCCCTGGGCCACAACCCCCAACAGCACCCCGTGAGTACCCAAAAATGGAGACCCCACCCCAAAAACCCCCATCCCCAAAAATCCATCCTAAAAACCCTGTCCCAAAAAAATCCATCCTAAAAACCCCATCCCAAAAAATCCATCCTAAAAACCCCATCCCAAAATCCCTCAACCCCTGGGCAGCCCCCGGGCCACAACCCCCAACAGCACCCCGTGAGTACCCAAAAATGGACCCCCATACCCCAAAAAACCCCCATCCCAAAACAACCCCCATCCTAAAAATCCATCCTAAAAACCCCATCCCAAAAAATCCATCCTAAAAAAACCCATCCTAAAAATCCATCCTAAAAACCCTCCACCCCAAAAAACTCCATCCTAAAAACCCATCCCAAAAACCCCCATCCTAAAAAACCTGATCCTAAAAAATCCATCCTAAAAACCCCTGTCCCCTAAAAACCCCCTGGCCACAACCCCCTCCAGCACCCCTGAGTACCCGAAAAATGGAGACCCCACCCCAAAAACTCCCCAACCCTCAAATCTCCCCAAATCCTCAAACTCCCCAAACCTCCCAAATCTTCCCCAGACCCCCAAAATCCCTCCCAAAATCCCCCAACCCCCAAATCCCTCCCCAAATCCCCCAAATCCCCCAAATCCCTCAAATCTCCTCCCAGAACCCCAAAACCCCCAAACCCCTCAAATCTCCCCAAACCCCTCCCAAAATCCCCACCAAACCCCCAAATCTCCAGACCCCCAAACCCCCCAAAATCCCTCCCAAACCCCTCAAATCCCTCCTAAATCCCCCCAAATCCCCCAAATTCCTCCCAATCTGCCCCAAATCCTCTCTAAACCCCTCAAATCTCTCCCCAAATCCCCCTAAATCCCCCAAACCCTCGAATCCACTCAAACCCCCAACCCCCCGTGTAATTCTCTGTCCCCTCCCCAGGAAGGAGCCGAGCGTCCCCCTGGCCCCCAAATCCCCCAAAATCCCCTAAACCCCTCAAATCTCCCCCAAATCCCCCAAACCCCCAATCCCCCCAAACCCCCAAATCCCCCCAAATCCCCCAAACCCCTCAAATCCCACCCAAATTCCCCCAAATCCTCCCAACCCCCCCAAATCTCCCCAGACCCCCAAATCTCCCCAAATCCCCTAAATCCCCAAAAATCCCCTCAAATTCCGAATCTGCCGAATCCTCCAAAGCTCCCCAAAATCTCCCCAAACCCCCTTTCTAAATTCTGTGCCCCCAAAATCCACCCTCCCCAAACTCCCCACCCAAACCCCCTCAAAATCCCCCCCAAAATCCCCCCAAATCCCTCCAAATCCCCCAAAATCCCCCCTGTGAATTCTCTCTCCTCCCCCCAGGAAGGAGTCGAGCGTCCCTCTGCACCTTCCAATCCCCAAAATCCCCCAAATCCCCCAAATCTCTCCAGACCCTCAAACCCCCAAAAACCCCCAAATCTCCCCAAAATCCCCAAGCCCCTAACCCCCAAATCCCCCAAACCCCTCAAAACCCCAAATCCTCCAAAATTCCCCCAAATCCCCCCGTGTAATTCTCTGTCCCCTCCCCCAGGAAGGAGCCGAGCGTCCCCCGCGCCCCCAATTCTGGGGAGGGGTTGGGGAGGGGTTGGGGAGGGAGGGTCCTTCTGGGGCCCCCTGAGCTCGAACCCCCGGCTCCCCACCCCCCTTCCCGAGGCCAAGGCTGGAGGCTGCCCCTCCCCTGCTCAACGGACCCCCTTCGGCAGCGCCCAGACATCAAGGTCAGCCCCCAAATTTGGGGGAGAGGGAATTTGGGGGTGGGAGGGAATTTTGGGGAGTGGGGGGGAAATTTGGGGGTGGGAGGTGAAATTTGGGGAATTTGGGGCAGGAGGAGAAATTTGGGGTGTGGGAGGAATTTTGAGGCAGGGAATTTCGGGAATTTTGGGGGTTGGGGGTGAGATGAATTTTGGAGGGGTGGGAGGTGAATTTTGGGGAAATTTGGGGGTTGGGGTGAGTGAATTTTGGGGGCTAGGGCAAATTTTTGGGGGGTGGAGATGAAATTTTGGGGGAGGAATTTGGGGGTGGGAGGGTGAAATTTGGGGTGGGAAATTGGGGAAATTTGGGGGTTGGGGGTGGGAGATGAATTTTGGGGGCCCAGGGCAAATTTTGGGGGTGGGAGATGAAATTTTGGGGGAGGAATTTTGGGGGTGGGAGGTGAAATTTGGGGTGGGGGTGAATGGGAAATTTGGGGGTTGGAGGTGGAGAGACTTTGGGGGCTGGGAGGGATTTGGGGGGTGGGAGGAATTTTGGGGGTGGAGGGTTTTGGGGTGGGAGGTGAATTTTGGGGTTGGGGAATTTGGGGGATTTGGGGGAGAGATGAATTTTGGGGGGTTCAGGGCAAATTTTGGGGGTGGGAGATGAATTTTGGAGGCAGGGGTTGAATTTGGGGGTGGGAGATGAATTTGGAGGGTGGGAGATAAATTTGGAGGGGTGGAGGTGAATTTGGGGGGGAAGAATTTTGGGGATGGGAGGAAATCTTGGGGGGTTTGGGGCTGAAATTTGGGGGTGAGAGGAACTTGGGAGGTTTGGGGGATGGGAGATGAATTTTGGGGGCAGGGGGAATTTGGGGGTGGGAGATGAATTTGGGGGTGGGAAAGGGTTTTGGGGGTGGGAGAGAAATTTTGGGGGCTGGGGGAGAAATTGGAGTGGGGGAGAATTTTGGGGGTGGGAGGTGAATTTTGGGGTGGGGGTGAAGATTTTGGGGGTTCCTGGGTGGGATCTGGGTGGGTTTTATTCCCTTTGGGCTCTCCTCCCCATTTTTAACCCCCTAATTCTGACCCCTCTCCCCAATTCTTGGGTGCCTCTCCCCAATTTTGGGTGCCCCTCCCCAATTTTGGGTGTCCCCCCAATTTTGCCCCCAGGCCCCCGAGCCCCTGAGCAGCCTCAAATCCATGGCCGAGAGGGCGGCCCTGGGGAGCGGCCTGACGAGGCAGGACCCCCCTGGGGCACTCTGGGACCGGGGTGAGACCTCCCAAAATATCCTGTCCCCTCCCCCAGGAAGGAGCCGAGGCGTCCCCACGCCCCCAATTCTGGGGAGGGGTTGGGGAGGGTTGGGGGAGGAGGGTCCTTCTGGGGCCCCCTGAGCTCGAACCCCCGGCTCCCCACCCCCCTTCCCGAGGCCAAGGCTGGAGGCTGCCCCTCCCCTGCTCAACGGACCCCCTTCGGCAGCGCCCCGACATCAAGGTCAGCCCCCAAATTTGGGGGAAGGGAATTTTGGGGGTGGGAGGGAATTTTGGGGAGTGGGGGAATTTGGGGGTGGGAGGTGAAATTTGGGGGAATTTTGGGGCAGGAGGAGAAATTTGGGGTGTGGGAGGAATTTTGGAGGAGGAATTTCGGGGAATTTTGGGGGTTGGGGGTGAGATGAATTTTGGAGGGGTGGGAGGTGAATTTTGGGAAATTTGGGGGTTGGGGGTGGAGATGAATTTTGGGGGCTCAGGGCAAATTTTGGGGGTGGGAGATGAAATTTTGGGGAGGAATTTGGGGGTGGGAGGTGAAATTTGGGGTGGGGAAGTGGGGAAATTTGGGGGTTGGGAGGTGGAGATGAATTTTGGGGGCTCAGGGCAAATTTTGGGGGTGGGAGATGAAATTTTGGGGAGGATTTTGGGGGTGGGAGGTGAATTTGGGGTGGGGGAGTGGGGAAATTTGGGGGTTGAGGTGGGAGATGAATTTTGGGGGCTGGGAGGTGAAATTTGGGGGGTGGGAGGGAATTTTGGGGGTGGGAAAGGGTTTTGGGGGTGGGAGGTGAATTTTGGGGTTGGAGGAATTTGGGGGATTTGGGGGAGAGATGAATTTTGGGGGTTCAGGGCAAATTTTGGGGGTGGGAGATGAATTTTGGGAGTGGGAGTTGAATTTTGGGGGTGGGAGATGAATTTTGGAGGGTGGGAGATAAATTTTGAGGGGTGGGAGGTGAATTTTGGGGGTGGGGAGATGAATTTTGGGGGATGGGAGGTGAAATTTTGGGGGGTTTGGGGGCTGAAATTTGGGGGTGAGAGGGAACTTGGGAGGTTTGGGGGTGGGAGATGAATTTTGGAGGCAGGGGGAATTTGGGGGGTGGGAGATGAATTTTGGGGGTGGGAAAGGGTTTTGGGGGTGGGAGAGAAATTTTGGGGGCTGGGGGAGAAATTGGAGTGGGGGAGAATTTTGGGGGTGGGAGGTGAATTTTGGGGTGGGGGTGAAGATTTTGGGGGTTCCTGTGATCTGTGGGTTTTATTCCCTTTTGGGGTCTCCCTCCCCATTTTCAACCCCCTAATTCTGACCCCTCCCCCAATTTTGGGTGCTCTCCCCCAATTTTGGGTGTCCTCTCCCCCAATTTTGGGTGCCCCCTCCCTAATTTTGGTCCCCCATTTTGCCCCCAGGCCCCCGAGCCCCTGAGCAGCCTCAAATCCATGGCCGAGAGGGCGGCCCTGGGAGCGGCCTGGACGAGGCAGGACCCCCTGGGGCACCTGGGGGACAGGGTGAGACCCCCAAATTACTCCTGACCCCCTGACCCTCCAGACTATCCCTGACCCCCTGACTCCCTGACCTCCCCGAGTTAACCTTGACTTATCCTGACCCTCCCCAAATTAACCCTGACCCCCTGGGGCACCTGGGGACCGAGGTGAGACCCCCCAAATTACCCTGACCCTCCCCTGAGCCCCCACTGGCCCCCCTGACCCCACCCTAAATAACTCTGACCCCCTGGGGCACCTGGGGGACCGGGGTGAGACCCCCAAAATATCCTGACCCCCTGACCTCCCTGACCCCCAAATCAGCCCTGACCCCCTGACCCCCAAATTAACCCTGACCCCTGGGGCACCCTGGGGACCGGGTGAGACCCCCAAATTACCCTCACCCCCTGAACCCCTGACCTCCTCGAGTTAACCTTGACTTACCCTGACCCCTCCCAAATTAACCCTGACCCCCTGGGACACCTGGGGGACAGGTGAGACCCTCCCAAATTACCCTCACCCCCTGAACCCCCTGAACCCCTGACCACCCCAAATTACCCTGACCCCCTGACCCCTCCTCAAATTAACCCTGAGCATCCCCTAAATTATCCCTGACCCCCTGGGGCACCTGGGGGACCGGGTGAGACCCCCAAATATCCTCACCCCCTGAACCCCCTGACCCCCAAATCAACCCTGACCCCCTGACCCCCAAATCAACCCTGACCCCCTGACCTCCCTGAGTTAACCTTGACTTACCCTGACCCTCCCCAAATTAACCTGACCCCCCTGGGGCACCTGGGGGACCAGGGTGAGACCCCCAAATTATCCTGACCCCCAAAATACCCTGACCCCCAAATTAACCTGACCCCCCAAATTATCCCTGATCCCCTGACCCTCCCAAATAACCCTGACCTCCCCATATTAACCCTGACCCCCTTGGGACCCCAAGTCCCCCAACACCCCCAAAAACTCCTTGCTCTCCCCCAAAATCCCCCAACCCTTTTACTCCCCACAAATCCTCAAACCCCGAAAATCCCCCAAACCCCTCCAACCCTTTATGCCCCTAACCCCCAAATCCTCCCCAACCCCCAGCCCTTTATACTCCCCAAATCCCCCAAAATCCCCCCAAATCCCCCAAGCCCCTCAGATCCCCCAATTCCCCCTTAGATTTCTCCCCAAATTCCCCAACCCCTTCATACCCCCAAATCCCTTGATCTCTCCCCCACCCCCAAAATCCCCCAACCCCTTTATGCCCCCCAATCCCATTTACTCCCCCAAATCTCCTCCAAATAATCCTGACCCTTTATACCCCCTAAATCCCCCAAATCCTCCCCAAATCCCCCATCCCTTTATACCCCCAAATCCCTTGATCTCTCCCCAAAATCCCCCAACCCCTTCATACCCCCCAAATCCCCCAAATCCTCCCCCAACCTCCCTCCAACCCTTTATACCCCCAAATCCCTCCAAGCCCCCTCAGATCCCCCTAATTCCCCCTCAACCCCCTTGATTTCTCCCCAAATCCCCCAACCCCTTCATACCCCCAAATCCCTTGATCTCTCCCCACACCCCCAAAATCCCCCTAAACCCCCAAAATCCCCCAACTCCTCCCCAACCCTTTATACCCCCCAAATCCTGCAAATCCCCCAAAATCCCCCAAATCCCCCAACCCCTTCAATTCCCCCAAATCCTGCAAATGCCCCCAAATCCTCCCCAAATCCCCCAAACCCCCAAGCCCTTTATACCCCCAAATCCCCTCAAATCCTCCCAAACCCCCTCTAACCCCATTATCCCTCCCAAACCCCCAAAATCCCCCAAATCTCCCCAACCCCTTCAATCCCCCAAAATCCCCAAACCCCCAACCCTTTATACCCCCAAATCCCCTCAAAATCCTCCCCAACCCCCCATTATCCCTTCCAAACCCCCAAAATCCTCCCCAATCCCCTCCAACCCCATTATCCCTCCCCAAATCCCCCAAATCCCCCAAAATCCCCCAACCCCTTTATCCCTCCCAAACCCTCCCAAAATCCCCCTCAAAGCCCCCAAATCCCCCAAACCACCTCCAACCTTCAATCCCCCAACCCCCAAAATCCTCCCCAATCCCCTCCAACCCTTTATACCCCCAAACCCCTCAAAATCCCCCAACCCCCAAATCCCCCAACCCCCAAAATCCTCCCCAATCCCCTCCAACCCCATTATCCCTTCTAAACCCCCAAACCCCCCAAACCCCCAAACTAACCCTATTTTTCTCCCAGATCTGCTGTTGGGGGCCGGAGGCTCCCCGAGCTCGGGGGCTCCGGGGGCTCCGGGGGTCCCGAGGGTCCCTGGGGAGGTGAACATCCCCTGTCCCTGGGGGTCTGTCCCTCGGCCCCTCCCCTGCCCAAGAGCAGCTCTACCAGCAGGCGCTGCAGGACCCGGCCTGGCACCACATGCCCCACCCTCAGACTCTGAGAGGATCAGGTGGGGGTCCCAAAAATTTGGGGGTCTGGGAGGTCCTGGAGGGGATTTGGGGGTTACAGTGGAGATTTAGGGGGTTAGAGGAAGTTAGGATGGAATTTAGGGGGTTACAGGAGAGTCTGGGGCTGCAGGACCCGGCCTGGCACCACAGGCCCCACCCCTCCGACTCTGAGAGGATCAGGTGGGGGTCCCAAAAATTTGGGGGGTCTGGGAGTCTTAGAGCAGATTTGGGGGGTTACAGTGAGATTTGGGGGTTAGGATGGAGTTTAGGGGCTTTAGAGAGGTTATTGGGGGTCTGGGGCTGCAGGACCCGGCCTGGCACCACATGCCCCACCCATCAGACTCTGAGAGGATCAGGTGGGGGTCCCCAAAATTTGGGGGGTCTGGGGGTCTTAGAGCAGATTTGGGGGTTAGGATGGAATTTAGGGGGTTATGGGAGGTTACAGTGGAGTTTAGAGGGGTTACAGAGGGTCTGGGGGCTGCAGGACCCGGCCTGGCACCACATGCCCCACCCCTCCGACTCTGAGAGAGGATCAGGTGGGGGTCCCAAATTTGGGGGGTCACAGTGAAATTTGGGGGTCTTAGAGCAGATTTGGGGGGGGTTGAGGGGATTTGAGGGGTTACAGTGGAATTTAGGGGGTTATTGAGGGTCTGGGGGCTGCAGGACCCGGCCTGGCACCACATGCCCCACCCCTCCGACTCTGAGAGGATCAGGTGGGGTCCCAAAAATTTGGGGAGGGTTTGGGGGTCTTAGAGCTGAGATTTGGGGGGTTACAGTGAGATTTGGGGGGTTTGAGGGGTTACAGTGGAATTTAGGGGGTTACAGAGGGTCTGGGAGCTGCAGGACCCGACCTGGCACCACATGCCCCATCCCTCCGACTCAGAGAGGATCAGGTGGGGTCCCCAAAATTTGGGGGGTCCTGGAGGGGTCACAGTGAGAATTTGGGGTCTTAGAGCAGATTTGGGGGGTTTGAGGGGATTTGGGGGGTTACAATGGAATTTAGGGGATTAGAGGGGTTACAGGGGGTCTGGGGGCTGCAGGACCCGGCCTGGCACCACATGCCCCACCCATCAGACTCTGAGAGGATCAGGTGGGGGTCCCTAAATTTGGGGGGTCTGGGAGGTCCTGGAGGGGTCACAGTGAAATTTGGGGAGATTTGGGGGGGTTACAGTGAAATTTGGGGGGGTTACAATGGAGTTTAGGGGGGTTATTGGGGGGTCTGGGGGCTGCAGGACCCGGCCTGGCACCACAGGCCCCACCCCTCCGACTCTGAGAGGATCAGGTGGGGGGTCCCCAAAATTTGGGGGGGGTCCTGGAGGGGTTTCAGTGAAATTTGGGGGGTCTTAGAGCAGATTTGGGGGGGATTCAGATGGAATTTGGGGTCATTTTGGGGTCATTTCTGGGGAGATTTTGGGACATTCCCATGGGGTTTGAGGAGGATTTTGGGGTGATTTGGGGTTTTTTTAGGGGGGGGAGGGGTTCCAGTTGGTTTTGGGGGGATTTTGGGGTGATTTGGGGTTTTTTGGGGGGGTTTCTGTGGGTTTTGGGGGTGATTTGGGGGCATTTTGAGGTGATTTGGGAGGATTTTGGGATGATTTGGGGGATCTGGGATGTTTGAGGCGATTTGGGGAGCTTTGGGGGAACTTCGGGGCTTCCAGTGGGATTTGGGGGCATTTTGAGGTGATTTGGGGGGATTTTGGGTGCTTCCAGTTGCGTTTTGGGCTGATTTGGGGGGGATTTCGGGGTTTCCAGTGGGATTTGAGGGCATTTTGGGCTGATCTGGGGGCATTTTAGGTGATTGGAGGGGGTTGGGGATTTCAGAGCTTCCAGTGCCATTTTGAGGTGATTTGGGGGGATTTTGGGGCATTTTTGCCTGTTTTATTGTAATTTTAACCCATTTTTTTTAATTTTTAACCCATTTTTTTTACTTTTAACCCATTTTTTGTCGCTTTTTGCCCGTTTTTGTCTCTTTTTCACCCATTTTTTTGTTCCCCCCCCACAGGCAGTACCTGCCCCGCAACCCCTGCCCCACCCCCTACCACCACCAGCTGCCTCCCACTCAGACACCGTCGAGAGTTCTACCAGAGATTGTCCACGGAGACGCTTTTCTTCATTTTCTACTACCTGGAGGTACCAAAATCCCCAAATTCACCCCAAAATCAACTCCACCCCAAAAAACATCCAGAGCCCCCAAGCCCCCAAATCCCCAGAACCCCCAAATCTGCTCAGAGGGGACTCCTGGGGGTCTCAGATTCCCCAGCCCCTTTTCTTCATCTTCTACTACCTGGAGGTACCAAAATCACCCAAATTCACCCCAAAATCAACTCCACCCCAAACCACCCCCCAGAACCCCCAACCCCCCAAACCCCTCAAATCTCCTCAGAGGGGACTCCTGGGGGGTCTCAGGGAATTTGGGGGTCCCAGGGTCCCCCTCAGCCCCTTTTCTTCATCTTCTACTACCTGGAGGTACCAAAATCCCCAAATTCACCCCAAAATCAACTCCACCCCAAAAACCCCCAGAGCCCCCAAACCCTTGCTAAACCCCTCAGATCTGCTCAGAGGGGACTCCTGGGGGGTCTCAGATTCCCCCAGCCCCTTTTCTTCATCTTCTACTACCTGGAGGTACCAAAATCCCCCAAATTCACCCCAAAATCCACTCGACCCCAAAACCACCCCAAACCCTCAGCCCCCAAATCCGCTCAGAGGGGAACTCTGGGGTCTCAGGGAGATTTGGGGTCTCTGTGAATTTTGGGGGTCTGGAGAGGTCCTGTGGATCCCCCTGGATTTGGGGACCCCCTGATTTTAGGGCCCCCAAGTTCAGTCCCAGCCCCACCCAGGGGAGGGAACCACTGGGGTCCAACCTGGGAGTTTGGGGGGGTCTCTGTGGGTTTGGGGGGTCTGGGGGTCCCTGTGGAGTTTGGGGGGTCTCTGTGAGTTTGGGGAGGTCTGAGAGAGTCTCTGTGGGTTTGGGGGGGTCTCTGTGGGTTTGGGGGGTCTGAGGGGGTCTCTGATGGGTCTGGGGGTCCCTGTGGTCCTTCTGGATTTGGGGACCCCCTCTGATTTGGGGCCCCCAAGCCCCCTAAAACCCCCAAATTTCCTCCCAACCCACCCAGGGGAGGAACCAGGGGGTCCAACCTGGGTGTTTGGGGGGTCTGGGGAGTCCTGGTGGGTCTGGGGGTCCCTGTGGGTCCTTCTGGATTTGGGGACCCCCTCTGATTTTGGGGCCCCCAAACCCTAAACCCCCCAAAACCCCCAAATTCAGTCCTAACCCACCCAGGAGGAAGCACACCAGGGGGTCCAACCTGTGGGTTTGGGGGATCTGGGAGTCTCTGATGGGTCTGGGGAGTCCTGTGGGTCCTTCTGGATTTGGGGACCCCCTCTGATTTTGGGGCCCCCAAACCCCCTAAACCCCCCCGTAAAACCCCCCAAATTCAGTCCTAAGCCCACCCAGGGGGTGAAACCACCTGGGGTCTCTGTGGGTTTGGGGGGGTCTGGGGGGTCTCAGATGGGGTCTTTGGGGGCCCCCCCGGGTTTGGGGACCCCCCCGTGCTGATTTTGGGGCCCCCCCAGGGCACAAAGGCTCAGTACTTGGCGGCCAAGGCGCTGAAGAAGCAGTCGTGGCGTTTCCACACCAAGTACATGATGTGGTTCCAGCGGCACGAGGAGCCCAAAACCATCACCGACGAGTTCGAGCAGGTTTGGAACCCCAAAAACACCTAAAACCACCCCAAAATTACCCCAAAAATACCCCAAAACCATCACCGACGAGTTCGAGCAGGTTTGGAACCCCAAAACACCCCAAAACAGCCCAAAAATACCCCAAAATCACCCCAAAAATACCCCAAAACCATCACCGACGAGTTCGAGCAGGTTTGGAACCCCAAAAATACCCCAAAAACACCCCCCTATCCCCAAAACCATCACCGACGAGTTTGAGCAGGTTTGGAACCCCAAAACCCCAAAAAACAGCCCAAAATCACCCCAAAAATACCCAAACCCACCCCAAAACCATCACCGACGAGTTCGAGCAGGTTTGGAACCCCAAAACACCCCAAAATACCCCAAAATCACCCCAAAAATACCCCAAAAATACCCAAAACCATCACCGACGAGTTCGAGCAGGTTTGGAGCCCCAAAACACCCCAAAACAGCCCAAAAATACCCCAAAAACACCCCAAAATCACCCCCCTATCCCCAAAACCATCACCGACGAGTTCGAGCAGGTCTGGAGCCCCAAAAACCCCCAAAACACCCCAAAAATACCCCAAAATCACCCCAAAACCATCACCGACAAGTTCGAGCAGGTTTGGAGCCCCAAAACCACCCCAAAAACAGCCCAAAATCACCTCAAACCCACCCCAAAACCATCACCGACGAGTTCGAACAGGTTTGGAGCCCCAAAAACACCCAAAATCACCCCAAAAATACCCAAAAGCACCCCAAAACCATCACTGACGAGTTCGAGCAGGTTTGGAACCCCAAAAACACACCCCAAAACACCCAAAAATACCCCAAAACACCCCAAAATACCCAAACCCACCCCAAAACCATCACCGACGAGTTCGAGCAGGTCAGGACCCCAAAACCCCCAAAACCCCCCCAAAATCACCTCAAAACCACCCCAAAATCATCACCGACGAGTTCGAGCAGGTTTGGAACCCCAAAAACCCCAAAAACACCCCAAAAATACCCCAAAATCACCTCAAAACCACCCCAAAACCATCACCGACGAGTTCGAGCAGGTCAGGACCCCAAAAACACCCAAAAATACCCCAAAACACCTCAAAAATAGCCCAAAAACACCCCAAACCCACCCCAAAACATCACTGACGAGTTCGAGCAGGTCAGGACCCAAAAACCCCCAAAACCCCCCCAAAAATCACCCCAAAAATACCCCAAAAATACCCAAAACCATCACCGACGAGTTCGAGCAGGTTTGGAGCCCCAAAACAGCCCAAAAATACCCCAAAACAGCCCAAAAATACCCCAAAACACCCCAAAAATGACCCCAAAATACCCCAAAACCATCACCGACGAGTTCGAGCAGGTTTGGAGCCCCAAAACCCCCAAAAATACCCCAAAACCACCCCAAAACCACCCCAAAATCACCCCAAAAATACCCAAACCCACCCCAAAACCATCACCGACGAGTTCGAGCAGGTCAGGACCCCAAAAACCCCCAAAATCACCCCAAAATCACCCCAAAATCACCCCTCAATCCCCAAAACTATCACCGACGAGTTCGAGCAGGTCTGGAGCCCCAAAACCCCCAAAAACACCCCAAAATCACCCCAAAAATACCCCAAAATCACCTCAAAACCATCACTGACGAGTTCGAGCAGGTCAGGACCCCAAAAACACCCAAAAAACACCCCAAAATACCTCAAAATCACCCCAAAACCACCCCAAAAATACCCCAAAAACACCCCAAAACCATCACCGACGAGTTCGAGCAGGTTTGGAGCCCCAAAAACCCCCAAAAACACCCCAAAAATACCCTAACCCCCAAAATCACCACAAAAAACACCCCAAAATCACCCCCTACCCCCCAAAACCATCACCGATGAGTTCGAGCAGGTCAGGACCCCAAAAACACCCCAAAAACACCTCAAAAATACCCCAAAACCACCCCAAAAACACCCAAAAAACACCCCAAAAAACACCCCAAAATCACCCCAAAAAAAACCCCAAACCACCCCAAAACCACCTCAAAACCCCCCCAAAATCACCCCAAAAAACACCCCAAAAACACCCCCCCACCCCAAAACCATCTCTGACGAGTTCGAGCAGGTTTGGAACCCCAAAAACACCCCAAACCCCCCCCAAAATCACCCCAAAAAACACCCCAAAAATACCCTAAAACCACCCCAAAAAACACCCCAAAAATACCCCAAAACCACCCCAAAAACACCCCAAAAATACCCCAAAACCACCCCAAAATCACCCCAAAAAAACCCCAAAAAACACCCCAAAAACACCCCAAAAATACCCCCAAAAACCCCAAAACCACCTCAAAACCCCCCCAAAATCACCCCAAAAAACACCCCAAAATCACCCCCCACCCCAAAAATCGAATTGGGAGCCCAAAATTATCCCCCCACCCCATAAGAAAACCCTGAAAAACGGCTGAAAAATCAGCTTTTAATTCAGATTTTGAAGGGGTTTTATAGCCCAAAATTCATCTCCTGAACCCCCAAAATTACCCCAAAACCCCACCCAGGGCCCCAAAAGCCCCCCTGAACATGGGGGTCCCCAAATTCCTGACCCTCCAAACCTCCCTGGACCCCCAAAATCCCCCAAATTCCCCCAAAATCCCCCTGAACCCCCCAAAATTCCCCCAAATCTCCCCTTTTGCTCCTTTCCCAACGAGGTTTTTTTTCAATGGATTTTTTGGGGGAGGCCCCACATTTTTGAGAATTCCCCAAATTCCTGACCCCAAAATCCCCCTTTTAAACCCCAAAATCCCCCCTTTAAACCCCAAAATCCCCCTTTAAACCCCAAAATCCCCCTTTAAACCCCAAAATCCCCCTTGAACCCCCTAAAAATCCCCCAAATCTCCCCTTCCCTTCTTTTTCCAATGGATTTTTTTGGGAGGAGACCCCCACATTTTTGGGAATTCCCCAAATTCCTGACCCCAAAAATTCCCCCTTTAAACCCCAAAATCCCCTTTAAACCCCAAAATTCCCCCTTTAAACCCCCAAAATCCCCTTTAAACCCAAAATCCCCTCGAACCCCAAAAATCCCCCTAATCTCCCCTTTGCTCCTTTTCCAACAGGGTTTTTCCAATGGGGTCATTCTTTTTGGGTGGGAGGAATCCCCATTTTTGGGGAGTGTCTGAGGATCCCCCAAATCCCTGACCCTCAAAATCCCCCTTTAAACCCCAAAATCCCCCTTGAAACCCCAAAATCCCCTTAAACCCCAAAATCCCCCTCAAACCCCAAAATCCCCCTTAGCCTCAAAACCCCCTTTAAACCCCAAATCCTCTCAAACCTCCCCATTTCCCTCCTTATTCTTAATATTATTTTTAATTTCTTTTTTGGGGATCAAAGGAGATTTGGGGGTCCCTCCCCCACCTCCCTGACCCCTTTTTTTGCCCCCTCCCCAAATTTAGGGCACCTACATCTACTTTGACTACGAGAAGTGGGGGCAGCGCAAGAAGGAGGGGTTCACCTTCGAGTATCGCTACCTGGAGGACAGAGACCTGCAGTGACCCCCCCAAAATAAACCCCCTCCCCAAAAAAAATCACCCCCCTGCATGTCAAACCCGGGGGTCACCCCAACCCCCTCACTTTGTTTGTCCCCAAAACCCCTCGTTTCACCCCAAATCCCTCCCCCTCCCCTTCTCAGCTGGGCTGAGCAAATTTGGGGGGGCTTTAAAGAGGGGGTTTTTGAGGTTAAAGGTGGATTTTGAGTGTTCTTTCTCTCCCCCCAAGTTTTGCCTCCCTCCCCTCCCCCGGTTGAAGATATTTTTTCTGGAATTATTTTCATTTTGGAAAATATTTATGAATAAATAGTTTTGTATCACAGCTCTTTCTGGGGGAGGAGGGTTTTTGGGGGTTTGGTGCCCCCTAATTTACCACCCCTCCCCCACTCCCCAATTTACCCCCCCGGGTCAATATTTGGGAGTTGACCTCCCCAAAAAAAACCTTCTGGACCCCCAAAATCTTTTGTGTCCCCACCCCCATAAATTTGGGGTTCAGCCTCCCAAAATTTTCTCCTCCCTCCTAAATATTTTGGGGTGTTCAACCCTGAGGGGTCTTAAAGGGGGTCCCTGCAAATTTGGGGGTCCCAGTGGGTTTTGGGGGTCCCTGAAGGGGTTTGGGGGGTCCCAGTGGGTTTTGGGGGGTCCTTGGGAGTCCCTGCAGGTTTGGGGGTCCCAGTGGGTTTTGGGGGTCCTTGAGGGGTTTGGGGGGATTTTGGGGGTCCCAGTGGGTTTTGGGGGTCCCTGAGGGGTTTAGGGGATTTTGGGGCTCCCAAGGGGTCCTTGAGGGGTTTTGGGGGTTCCTTGAAGGGTCCCAGAGGGATTTGGGGGGGCCCCTTCAGGTTTGGGGGAGTCCCAGGGGGTCCTGAGGGGTCCCAAAGAGGGATTTGGAGGTCTCAGAGGGCGTTTCATGGAGTGTTTTTGGGGTCCCAGGGTGTTTTTGGGGTCCCAGGGCTGTTTATGGGGTCTCAGGGTGGGTTTGGGGTTTGGGGGTCCAGGATGATTTTGGGGTCTCAGGGTGGGTTTTGGGTCCCTGAGCCCCCGTGCCAGTTTGGGGTGGAATTGGCTGTTGAAGGTCTGTGCTCTCGTCCTGGGGGTTTTGGGGGTCCCAGGGAGGTTTCAGGGGTTTTGGGGGTCTCAGGGTAGGTTTTGGGGTCTCAGGGGTGTCAGGGTGGGTTTTGGGAGTCCTGAGCCTCCGTGCGAGTTTTGGGTGGAATTGGCTGTTGAAGGGTCTGTGTCTCTCGTCCTGGGGGCTCTGGGGGGATTTTGGGGGGTTTTTGGGGTCCCAGGGATGTTTTGGGGTGTCAGGGTGGGTTTTGGAGGTTTTTGGGGGTCCCAGGATGATTTTTGGGGTGTCAGGGTGGGTTTTGGGGGTCCCTGAGCCCCCCCCGTGCCAGTTTGGGGTGGAATTGGCTGTTGAAGGGTCTGTGTCTCTCGTCCTGGGGGCTCTGGGGGGGATTTTGGGGGATTTTGGGGTCCCAGGGGTGTTTTGGGGTGTCAGGGTGGGTTTTTGGGGGTCCCAGGGGTGTTTTTGGGGGTCCCAGGGATGATTTTTGGGGTCTCAGGGTGGGTTTTGGGGGTTTTTGGGGGTGTCAGGGTGGGTTTTGGGGGTCCCTGAGCCCCCCCGTGCCAGTTTGGGGTGGAATTGGCTGTTGAAGGGTCTGTGTCCTCATCCTAGGGGGCTCTGGGAGTTTTGGGGATTTTGGGGGTCCCAGGGGTGTTTTGGGGGTCCCAGGATGATTTTTGGGGTCCCAGGGGTGTTTTTGGGGGTGTCAGGGTGGGTTTTGGGGGTCCCTGAGCCCCCCCCGTGCCAGTTTGGGGTGGAATTGGCTGTTGAAGGGTCTGTGTCTCTCGTCCTGGGGGCGTTTCTGGGGGGGATTTTGGGGGGGATTTCGGGGGTCCCGCAGCCCCCCCAGCAGGGTCTGAGCCCGGGCGGCCTCGTTGGCCTCGCGTTGGAGCCGCTCCCGACGCAGCTCCCGCAGCCTGCGGGCAATTAACGCTAATTAACAACTCATTAACACTCATTAACACTCACTAACGGCGTATTAGTGATCATTAGCGCTCATTAACGCCTCGTTAGCGCTAATTAACACCTCAGTAACGCTCATTAACGGCCATCAAGCTCGTTAGCGCTCATCAACACATCGCTAATGGTCATTAACAGCTAATTAACGCTCATTAGTGCTCATTAACGATTATTTGAGCTCGTTAATGCTCATTACACTCATTAATGCTCATTAGAGCTCATTAATGTTGGTTAATACTCATTAACACCTTGTTAACACTTCATTGGCGCTCATTAGCGCTAATTAACACTCAACACAACGCTCATTAATTTGTGCTCATTAACGGTCATTAACAACTCATTAATGCTCATTAGGGTGCGTTAATTCTCATTAATGCTAATTAACAACTCATTAGCGCCGATTAGTGCTAATTAACTGTCATTAATGCTAATTAGCACTAATTAACCCTCATTAACAGCTCATTAATGATTGAGAGAGGAGGGGCTGATGGAGGGCGTTAATTAATTGGGGGCCCAATTGAGAGGTTAAATAATTCCTTAGGGGTTAATTAATTAATTAGTGAGTGGGTAAATGAAATGCCTAATTAATTAATTAGAGGATAACTAATGTGGGGAGGGGTCAAACCCCAATTTTGGGAGGGGTCAAACCCCACTTTGGGGGGGGTGAAACCCCAATTTTGGGGGGGTCAAACCCCAATTTGGGGGGGTCACACCCCAATTTTAGGGGGATCAAACCCCCAATTTTGAGGGGTCAAACCCCAATTTGGGGGGGGTCAAACCCCACTTGGGGGGGTCATTTGGGGGGGTCAAACTCCCAATTTGGGGAGGGGTCAAACCCTCAATTTTAGGGGGGTCAAACCCCAATTTTAGGGGGGTCAAACCCCAATTTGGGAGGGGTCAAACCCCAATTTTGGGGGGGTCAAACCCCAATTTGGGGGGGTCAAACCCCAATTTGGGGGGGTCAAACCCCAATTTTAGAGGGCTCAAACCCCACTTTGGGAGGGGCCAAACCCCAACTTTGGGGGTCAAACCCCAATTTGGGAGGGGTCAAACCCCAATTTGGGGGTCATTTGGGGGTCAAACCTCAATTTGGGGGGTCAAACCCCACTTTGGGGGTCAAACCTCAATTTGGAGGTCAAGCCCCAATTTGAGGAGGGTCAACCTCAACTTTAGGGGTCAAACCTCAATTTTAGGGGGGTCAAACCCCAATTTTAGGGGGGTCAAACCCCAATTTGGGGGTCAAAACCCCAATTTTGGGGGGGTCAAACCCCAATTTGGGGAGGGGTCAAGCCCAAATTTGGGGGGTCAAACCCCAATTTGAGGAGGGGTCAAACCCCAATTTTAGGAGGGGTCAAACTCCAATTTAAGGGGGGTCAAACCCCAATTTTAGGGGGGTCAAACCCCAAATTAAGGGGGATCAAACCCCAATTTGTGGGAGGGGTCAAACCCCAATTTTAGAGGGGTCAAACCCCAATTTTGGGAGGGGTCAAACCCCAATTTGGGGGGGGTCAAACCCCAATTTTAGGGGGGTCAAGCCCCAATTTGGGGTGGTCATTTGGGGGGTCAAACCCCAATTTGGGGAGGGGTCAAACCCCAATTTTAGGGGGGTCAACCCCCAATTTTAGGGGGGTCAAACCCCAATTTGGGGGGTCAAACCCCAATTTGGGGGGGGTCAAACCCCAATTTTAGGGGGGTCAACCCCCAATTTGGGGTGGTCATTTGGGGGTCAAACCCCAATTTGGGGGGGGTCAAACCCCAATTTTAGGGGGGTCAACCCCCAATTTTAGGGGTCAAACCCCAATTTTAGGGGGGTCAAACCCCAATTTGGGGGGGTCAAACCCCAATTTGTGGGAGGGGTCAAACCCCAATTTGGGGGGGTCAAAGCCCCAATTTTAGGGGGGTCAAACCCCAATTTGGGGGGGTCAAACCCCCAATTTTAGGGAGGGGTCAAACCCCAATTTGGGGGGGTCAAACCCCAATTTTAGGGGGATCAAACCCCACTTTGGGGGGGTCAAACCCCCTTGGGGGGAGGGGTCTATGTCCAAAAATTCCTGTGAGGAGGGGATTAATTAACCAATCATTAATTAACTCACCCTTTGGGCCCCCCCCTCCTGGGGGGGTCTCTGGGGGGGTCTTTTTTGGGGCTGGGGGGGTCTCGGGTCTCCCCTTGCCCCTCATGTCCTTCAGGGGGTCCAGGGCTGCTTTCCTGCCCCTCTCCACCTCCTGGGGGGCCCCCCCGTGGTTTTTGGGGGTCCCTCCGGGTTTGGGGGCCCTGGGTTTTGGGGTCCCTCGGCTGGGGGGTCTCAGGTACCAGGGGGGGGTGGTCTGGGCCTCGGCCGCGCTCTGGCCCAGGTAGGTCAGGACCCCCAGGGCTCGTTCCCGGCGCTCCTGGGGGGGAAATTTGGGGAGGGGGGTGGGGTTTGAAACCCCCAGACCCCCCCTCATAAAAATATCCCCCAAAATCCCCTCATTTTTATCCCAAATCTCCCCATTTTTAACCCAAATCTCCTCATTTTTAACCCAAATCCCTTAATTTTTAACCCAAATCCCCATTTTTACCCCAAATCCCCCATTTTTACCCCAAATCCCCCCCATTTTGACCCCAAATGCCCCCATTTTGACCCCAAATCCCTTAATTTTTAACCCAAATCCCCCCCCATTTTACCACAAATCCCACTCATTTTGACCCCAAGTCCCCCCCATTCTGACCCCAACCCCCCCCATTTTACCCCAAATCCCTTCATTTTTACCCCAAATCCCCCCCATTTTTAACCCAAATCTCCTCATTTTTATCCCAAATTCCCTCATTTTTACCCCAAATCCCCTCATTTTTACCCCAAATCCCCCATTTTTAACCCAAATCTCATTTTTATCCCAAATCCCCCATTTTGACCCCAAATCCCCTCATTTTACCCCAAATCCCCCATTTTGACCCCAAATCCCCCATATTTACTCCCAAATCCCTCATTTTTATCCCAAATAATCCCCCATTTTCACCCCCTCTTCTCCTGCTCCTTTGGGGGAAATTTGGAGTAGGAGGGAGTGATTTGGGGGGGTTTGAACTCCCAGACCCCCCCCATAAAAATATCCCCCAAAATCCCCCCATTTTGACCCCAAATCCCCCCCATTTTTACCCCAAATCCCCTCATTTTTATCCCAAATACCCCCCATTTTCACCCCAAATCCCCCATATTTGATCCCAAATCCCTCATTTTACCCCAAATCCCCATTTTACCCCAAATCTCCTCATTTTACCCCAAATCCCCCATTTTTACCCCAAATCCCCATTTTTTGGGGGTATTTTGGGTTGGAGGAGGGGATTTTTGGGGTATTTTGGGATGGGGAGGGGATTTTGGGGGTATTTTGGGATGGGGAGGGGATTTTGGGGTATTTTGGGATGGGAGAGGATTTTGGGGCTATCTTGGATTTTGGGGAGAGGGATTTTTGGGGGTACTTTGGGATGGGGAGGGGATTTTGGGGGGTATTTTTGGGATGGGGAGGGATTTTGGGGGTATTTTGGGGATGGGGAGGAGGATTTTGGGGGTATTTTGAGATGGGGAGGGGATTTTTGGGGGTATTTTGGGATGGGGAGGGGATTTTTGGGGTATTTTGGGATGGGGGAGGGGGATTTTTGGGGGGTATTTTGGGATGGGGGAGGGGGATTTTTGGGGGGTATTTTGGGATGGGAGAGGGATTTTTGGGGGTATTTTGGGATGGGGGAGGGATTTTTGGGGGTATTTTGGGATGGGAGGGGATTTTTGGGGTATTTTGGGATGGGGAAGGGGATTTTGGGGAGTATTTTGGGTTGGGGGAGGGATTTTGGGGGGCATTTTGGGATGGGGGAGGGGATTTTTGGGGGTGGGGAAGGATTTTGGGGGTGTTTTGGGGAGGGGGATTTTGGGGGTATTTTTGGGATGGGGGAGGGGATTTTTGGCGGGTATTTTGGGATGGGGAGGGGATTTTTGGGGGTATTTTGGGATGGGGAGGGGATTTTGGGGGTATTTTGAGATGGGGGAGGGGATTTTTGGGGGTATTTTGGGATGGGGAGGGGATTTCTGGGGGTATTTTGGGTTTGGGGGAGGGGATTTTTGGGGGTATTTTTGGGATGGGAGGGGATTTTTGGGGTATTTTGGAATGGGGAGGGGTTTGGGGTATTTTGGGATGGGATTTTGGGGGTATTTTGGGATGGGGGAGGGGAGTTTTGGGGGTATTTTGGGATGGGGAGGGGATTTTGGTGGGGTATTTTGGGATGGGGAGGGGATTTTGGGGGTATTTTGGGATGGGGAAGGGGGATTTTGGGGGTATTTTGGGATAGGGAGGGGATTTTTGGGGGTGTCCCCCTCCCCTCACCTGTTCCCGCCGTTTCTCCTCCTCGTGCTCCCGATTTGGGGCCTCCTCGGGGCAGGAACAGCACGGGGGGCGGGGAGGGGCTGCGACCCCCCAACCCCCCCACCCTCGCCCTCTTCCTCAGGAGCTGTGTCCGGACCTGGGGAAGGGGGTAAAGGGGGTCAAACACCCCCAAAATACCCCCAAGAAGAGTTATTGCCCCCAAATCTGCTCCACCCCCAGGGTATTTATTTCCTTGCCCCGTGTTTATTTATTAACCCTCCCCAGGGGTTTATTTATTCCCCTCCCCTGGGGGTTATTTTACCACCCCCGGGATTATTTTATTTTTATCGTTTATTACTTTATTCTTTTATTGACTATTTTTGCCCCTCCCCCTCCCGCAGACGAACATGGTTTGACCCAAGCCACGCCCACCCCGCCTAAGCCACGCCCACCTAATTCACCTTCACTATCCCAAGCCCCGCCCATTCCTCCAAGCCCCTCCCACCCCATTCACCCTCATTATTCCAAACCCCGCCCACTCCTCCAAGCCCCGCCCACTCTCCACATCCACTAATTATGCCAAACCACGCCCTCCAAAGAAGCCCCGCCCCTCCCTCAGCCCCCTCACAGCCCCCCTCCCCCCCGTTCCCCTCACTCGCCTCCTGCTCCGCCCGCAGCGCCCGCGCCTCCCGTTTCCTCCGCTCCTCCTCGGCCGCCGCCTCGTCCCGCCGCACCCGCGCCACGTTGTCCTTGTTGCGCACATGCCACGACTTTTTCGGGAGGATGTTCATGGCGGCGGCGGCGGCTCCGGGAGCGGCTCCGGGAGCGGCTCCGGGAAGAGGCCCCGGCTGCCCCGGACCGGACCAGGCCGCGCTCCCCTGAGGGCTCTCGCCTCTGATTGGCTCGGCCCTGCTTGTCCCGCCCTCTATCGCTCTTTGATTGGTTAATGTCTTCCCCTCGGCTCCACTCTCGCTGTCTGATTGGTGGAGCGCCGTAGTCCCGCCCCTTTCCCGCTCTCTGATTGGCTGAGAGGTTTCCCGCCTTTCGGAGCCGCCATTTTGAGCCGTGAGGGGAGGGTGGGGCGGGGCCGGAGGGATCTGCCCATAAAACCCCAAATCCCCTAAAAAACCCCTAAAACCCTCCCGAGACCCCTCAAAACCCTTCCGGGACCCTCTAAAACCATCCTAAACCCCCTCAAAACCCTCCCAAGACCCCTCAAAACCCTTTCGGGACCCTCTAAAACCATCCTAAACCCCCTCAAAACCCTCCCGAGACCCTCTAAAACCATCCTAAACCCCCTCAAAACCCTCCCGAGACCCCTCAAAACCCATCCGGGATCCTCTAAAACCATCCTAAACCCCCTCCAAAACCCATCCGGGACCCCCAAAAAACCCCTCAAACCCACTCCTGGACCCCCAAAAACAACCCCAGGACCCTCCAAAACCCTCCAAAACCCCCTCAAAACCCTTTCGAGACACCCCCCTCCCCCTCAGAAAATCCAGTTTTAGGGTGTTTGGGTTTGTCTTGGGATGTTTTGGGTAGGTTTTGGGTCATTTTTGGGGTATTTTAGGTCAGATTTGGGGTCCCCTCACACACCAAACACCGGGAGGAGGGATTTGTCACTTAAATCCTTTATTGATCTCAGTTTTGGGGGGGGGTCTCATCCAAAAACAAAGCCCCCCCCTCAGCCCAAACCCCTCCCAACCCCCCTAAACCCCCCAAATCCCCCCCCCTTGTCCTGGATTTTGGGGTTCAGGGGGATTTGGGGGGATCCCCCCTAATTTCTGGTCATTGGGGTCTCCCCCCTGTTGTTTTTTGGGGGTTCAGGGGGTCCCTCCCCCCCCCTTCACCTGAGTATTGGGGTCCCTTCTCCTCCTCCCCTGGGGGTCCCCAAAGTTTGGGGTCCCCCCCTAAATTCTGGCTATTGGGGTCCGTCCCCCCCTGCACTTTTGGGGTCTCCCCCTTCTGTTCTGGGGGGGTCCCTCCCCTCCTGGATTTTGGGGTTCTTCCCCTCGTGGATTTTGGGGTTCAGGGGGTCTCTCCCCTCCTGGATTTTGGGGTTCAGGGGGTCTCTTTCCTCCTGGATGGGGTTCATCTCCCCTCATCTTTATGAGGTCTCCCTCCCTCATTCCTCCTCTTTCTGGGGGTTCAGGGGGTCTCTTTCCTCCTGGATTTTGGGGTCCCTCCCTTCCTGGATTTTGGGGTTCAGGGGGTCTCTCCCCTCCTGGTTATTGGGGTCTCCCCCATCTTGCTTTTTGGGGTTCAGGGGGTCTCCCCCTACATCATTATGGGGGTCCCTCCTCCTTCTCACTTGGGCATCCCCCCCTCCCTCTTCCTCCTGGATTTTGGGGTTCAGGAGGTCTCTTTCCTCCTGGATTTTGGGGTTCAGGGGGTCTCCCCCTACATCCTTATGGGGGTCTCTCCTCCTCCTCACTTGGACATCCCCCCCTCCCTCTTCCTCCTGGAATTTGAGGGTCAGGGGGTCTCTTTCCTCCTGGATTTTGGGGTTCAGGGGGTCCCTCCCCTCCTGGATTTTGGGGTTCAGGGGGTCTCTGCCCTCCTGGATTTTGGGGTTCAGGGGGTCTCCCCCTTCATCCTTATGGGGGTCTCTCCTCCTCCTCACTTGGGCATCCCCCCCCTCCTGGATTTTGGGGTTCAGGAGATCTCTTTCCTCCTGGATTTCGGGTTCCCTCCCCTCGTGGATTTTGGGGTTCAGGGGGTCTCTTTCCTCGTGTATTTTGGGGTTCAGGGGTGCCCCCCCTTTCCCCCCCGGAGCCCCCTTTGCCCCCAGCCCCTTGCAGACCCCCAGCAGGGCGAGGGGCAGGAGGTGGAGGCAGAAATGCACCGAGCCCCAGAAGCGCAGGGTGGGCTCTGCCTCGCGCAGCACGAACCCCACGCTCAGGTACTCGAAGGCCCTCATCTTGAGGAACCACTGCAGCCCCCGCAGCAGGGACCCCCAGGGACCCCCCAGCCGCTCCAGGGGCACCCCAAAACGAGCCCCCAGCGCCCGCTCGGCCGCAGCCTCGGCCGCCAACCAGAGCGGCACCGACAGGAACGCCAGGTGCTGCCCCCCGTGCAGCCCGTGCCAGTACGCCGAGGCCAGCATGGTCCATGCATTCCTGGGGACAAAGAGAGAGAGAAACAGGTGAGTTAGAGACTCAAAAATCAATTTACAGCACCCCAAAATGGGAGTCACACCCAGGTGCTGCCCCCCGTGCAGCCCGTGCCCCCCGTGCCAGTACGCCGAGGCCAGCATGGTCCAGGCATTCCTGGGGACAGAGAGAGAAAACAGGTGAGTTAGAGACTAAAAATTCCATTTACAGCACCAAAATTCCATTTACAGCACCCCAAAATGTGAGTCACACCCAGGTGCTGCCCCCCGTGCAGCCCGTGCCAGTACGCCGAGGCCAGCATGGTCCATGCATTCCTGTGGAAAAACAGGTGAGTTAGAGACTAAAAATTCAATTTACAGCACCAAAATTCCATTTACAGCACCCCAAAATGTGAGTCACACCCAGGTGCTGCCCCCCGTGCAGCCCGTGCCAGCACGCCGAGGCCAGCATGGTCCATGCATTCCTGCAGGGAAAAATGGGTGAGTTAGAGACCTGAAATTCAATTTACAGCACCCCCAAAATGTGATTCACACCCAGGTGCTGCCCCCCGTGCAGCCCGTGCCAGTACGCCGAGGCCAGCATGGTCCAGGCATTCCTGCAGGGAAAAATGGGTGAGTTACACACTAAAAAATCAATTTACAGCACCAAAATTCCATTTACAGCACCCCAAAATGTGAGTCACACCCAGCATGGTCCATGCGTTCCTGCAGGGAAAAATGAGTGAGTTAGAGACCTGAAATTCAATTTACAGCACCCCCAAAATGTGAGTCACACCCAGGTGCTGCCCCCCGTGCAGCCCGTGCCAGTACGCCGAGGCCAGCATGGTCCACGCATTCCTGTGGAGAAACAAGTGAGTTACACACCTAAAAAATCAATTTACAGCACCAAAATTCCATTTACAGCACTCCAAAATGTGATTCACACCCAGCATGGTCTATGCATTCCTGCAGGGAAAAATGAGTGAGTTAGAGACTAAAAAATCAATTTACAGCACCAAAATTCCATTTACAGCACCCCATACATGCCCTGCCAGTGCGCCGAGCCCAGCATGGTCCAGGCGTTCCTGGGGAAAAATGAGGTGAGTTAGAGACTAAAAATCAATTTACAGCACTCAAGATATGAGTCACATTACAGGTGCTGACCCCGTGCAACCGTGCCAGTCGCAGCCCAGCATGGTCCAGGCATTCCTGCGGAAAAATGAGTGAGTTAGAGACTAAAAAATCAATTTACAGCACCCCAAAATGTGAGTTATGGCACTCAAAATGTGAGTGACACCCAGGGGCTGCCCCCCGTGCCAGCAGGCAGAGAGACCAGCACGGTCCATGCATTCCTGTGGAGAAACAGGTGAGTTAGGGACTAAAAATTCAATTTACAGCACCCAAAATGTGAGTTATGGCACCCAAAATGTTGGCCGAGGCCAGCACGGTCCATGCGTTCCTGGGGGGAAAAGGGGTGAGTTAGAGACGTGTCCCAGTGCCCTCCACAGGTGTACCCACCTGACAATGGGGTACCTCCTGGGCCCCCTGTTGTGCACGTGGTGCCCCCAGTGCCCTCCCAGTGTGTCCCAGTGCCCTCACCTGAGGAGGGGGTACCTCCTGGGTCCCCTGCTGTGCACGTGGTGCCCTCCCAGTGTGTCCCAGTGTGTCCCAGTGTGTCCCAGTGTGTCCCAGTGTGTCCCAGTGTGTCCCAGTGCCCTCACCTGAGCACAGGGTATTTCCTGGGCCCCCTGCTGTGCACGTGGTGCCCTCCCAGTGCCCCCCCAGTGTGTCCCAGTGTGTCCCAGTGCCCCCCCAGTGTGTCCCAGTGTGTCCCAGTGCCCTCCCAGTGTGTCCCAGTGTATCCCAGTGCCCTTCCAGTGCCCCCAGTGCCCTCACCTGAGCACAGGGTACCTCCTGGGCCCCCTGTTGTGCACGTGGTGCCCCCAGTGCCCTCCCAGTGCCCTCCTAGTGTGTCCCAGTGTGTCCCAGTGTGTCCCAGTGCCCTCCCAGTGCCCTCCCAGTGTGTCCCAGTGTGTCCCAGTGCCCCCATTACCTGAGCACAGGGTACCTCCTGGGTCCCCTGTTGTGCACGTGGTGCCCCCAGTGCCCTCCCAGTGTGTCCCAGTGTGTCCCAGTGCCCTCCCAGTGTGTCCCAGTGTGTCCTGCTTAGTGTGTCCCAGTGCCTCCCAGTGTGTCCCAGTGTGCCCAGTGCCCCCAGTGTGTCCCAGTGCCCCCAGTGTGTCCAGTGTCGTCCCAGTGTGCCCAGTGCCCCCAGTGTGTCCCAGTGTGTCCCAGTGTGTCCCAGTGCCCTCTCAGTGTGTCCCAGTGTGTCCCAGTGCCCCCCCAGTGTGTCCCAGTGTGTCCCAGTGTGTCCCCAGTGTGTCCAGTGCCCTCAGTGTGTCCCAGTGTGTCCCAGTGCCCCCCCAGTGTATCTAGTGCCCCCAGTGTGGTCCCAGTGTGTCCCCAGTGTGTCCCAGCGCCCTCTCAGTGTGTCCCAGTGTACCCAGTGCCCCCAGTGCCCCCTGTGTCCAGTGGTGTCCCAGTGTGTCCCAGTGGTGCCCCAGTTGCCCTCCCAGTGTGTCCCAGTGTGTCCCAGTGCCCCCAGTGTGTCCCAGTGCCTCTCAGTGTGTCCCAGTGCCTGTCCCAGTGTGTCCCAGTGCCTCCCAGTGTGTCCCAGTGCCCCAGTGCCCCCAGTGCCCTCCCAGTGTGTCCCAGTGCCCCCAGTGTGTCCCAGTGCCCTCCCAGTGTGTCCCAGTGTGTCCCAGTGCCCCCAGTGTGTCCCAGTGCCCCCCCAGTGCCATCCCAGTGTGTCCCAGTGCCCCCCAGTGTGTCCCAGTGCCCCCCCAGTGCCATCCCAGTGTGTCCCAGTGCCCTCCCAATGTGTCCCAGTGCCCCCCCAGTGTGCCCCAGTGTGTCCCAGTGCCCTCCCAGTGTGCCCCAGTGTGTCCCAGTGCCCTCCCAGTGTGTCCCAGTGCGGCCCCAGTGTGCCTGAGGGATGGGGTACCTCCTGGGCCCCCTGTTGTGCACGTGGTACCCCAGTGCCCCCCAGTGCATCCCAGTGCCCTCCCAGTGTGTCCCAGTGATGCCCTCACCTGACAGTGGGATCATTTCCTGGGCCTGTTGTGCCCGTGGTGCCCCCAGTGCCCCCAGTGTGCCCTCCCAGTGTGTCCCAGTGCCCCCAGTGTGTCCCAGTGTGCTCCCAGTGTGCCCAGTGCCCCCAGTGTGTCCCAGTGCCCTCCCAGTGTGCCCCAGTGTGTCCCAGTGCCCTCCCAGTGTGTCCCAGTGCCCCCCCAGTGTGTCCCAGTGCCCTCCCAGTGTGTCCCAGTGTGTCCCAGTGCCCCCAGTGTGCTCCCAGTGCCTCCCAGTGTGTCCCAGTGCCCCCAGTGTGTCCCAGTGTGTCCCAGTGCTGTCCCAGTGTGTCCCAGTGCCCTCCATTGCCTGGGAGTGCCTCCTGGGCCCCTGTTGTGCCCAGTGCGCTCCCAGTGCCCTCCCAGTGTGTCCCAGTGCCCTCCCAGTGTGTCCCAGTGCCCCCAGTGATGCCATTACCTGAGCACAGGGTATTTCCTGGGCCCCCTGCTGTGCACGTGGTGCCCCCAGTGCCCTCCCAGTGCCCCCCAGTGTGTCCCAGTGCCCTCACCTGAGGATGGGGTACTTTCTGGGCCCCCTGGTGTGCACGTGGTGCCCCCAGTGCCCTCCCAGTGTGTCCCAGTGTGTCCCAGTGTGTCCCAGTGTGTCCCAGTGCCCTCCCAGTGTGTCCCAGTGCCCTCCCAGTGTGTCCCAGTGTGTCCCAGTGCCCTCCCAGTGTGTCCCAGTGCCCTCCACAGGTGTACCCACCTGACAATGGGGTACTCCTGGGCCCCCTGTTGTGCACGTGGTGCCCCCAGTGCCCTCCCAGTGCCCTCCCAGTGTGTCCCAGTGCCCCCAGTGCCCCCATTACCTGATAATGGGATATTTCCTGGGCCCCCTGCTGTGCACGTGGTGCCCCCAGTGCCCTCCCAGTGTGTCCCAGTGTGTCCCAGTGCCCTCCCAGTGTGTCCCAGTGTGTCCCAGTGCCCTCACCTGAGCACAGGGTACTTCCTGGGCCCCCTGTTGTGCACGTGGTGCCCCCAGTGCCCTCCCAGTGTGTCCCAGTGTGTCCCAGTGCTCCCCCAGTGTGTCCCAGTGCCCTCCCAGTGTGTCCCAGTGTGTCCCAGTGTGTCCCAGTGCCCTCCCAGTGTGTCCCAGTGTGTCCCAGTGCTCCCCCAGTGTGTCCCAGTGCCCTCCCAGTGTGTCCCAGTGTGTCCCAGTGTGTCCCAGTGCTCCCCCAGTGTGTCCCAGTGTGTCCCAGTGTGTCCCAGCGCCCTCCCAGTGTGTCCCAGTGTGTCCCAGTGATGTTGTCCCAGTGTGTCCCACAGGTGCCCTCACCTGATGACAGGGTACTTTCTGGGCCCCCTGGTGTGCACGTGGTGCCCCCAGTGCCCTCCCAGTGTGTCCCAGTGTGTCCCAGTGCCCCCATTACCTGAGGATGGGGTACCTCCTGGGCCCCCTGTTGTGCACGTGGTGCCCCCAGTGCCCTCCCAGTGTGTCCCAGTGTGTCCCAGTGCCCTCCCAGTGTGTCCCAGTGTGTCCCAGTGTGTCCCAGTGCCCTCCCAGTGCCCCGCCAGTGCCCTCCCAGTGTGTCCCAGTGCCTCCAATGTGTGCCTCCAGTGCCCCCCAGTGTGTCCCAGTGTGTCCCAGTGCCCTCCCAGTGTCCCAGTGCCTCCCAGTGCCATCCCAGTGTGTCCCAGTGCCTCCAGTGTGTCCCAGTGTCCCAGTTGTCCCAGTGTGCCCCAGTGCCTCCCAGTGTGTCCCAGTGCCTCCAGTGTGCTCCCAGTGTGTCCCAGTGTCTCCCAGTGTGCTCCCAGTGTGTCCCAGTGCCCTCCCAGTGTGTCCCAGTGCCCCCAGTGCCCCCATTACCTGAGGATGGGGTACCTCCTGGGCCCCCTGTTGTGCACGTGGTACCCCCAGTGCCCTCCCAGTGCATCCCAGTGCCCTCCCAGTGTGTCCCAGTGCATCCCAGTGCCCTCCCAGTGTGTCCCAGTGATGCCCTCACCTGACAATGGGGTATTTCCTGGGCCCCCTGTTGTGCACGTGGTGCCCCCAGTGCCCCCCCAGTGCCCTCCCAGTGTGTCCCAGTGCCCCCCCAGTGTGTCCCAGTGCCCCCCCAGTGTGTCCCAGTGCCCCCCCAGTGTGTCCCAGTGCGCCCCCAGTGTGTCCCAGTGTGTCCAGTGCCCTCCCAGTGTGTCCCAGTGCCTCCCAGTTGTCCCAGTGTGCCCCAGTGCCCTCCCAGTGTGTCCCAGTGCCCTCCCAGTGTGTCCCAGTGCCCCCAGTGCCATCCCAGTGTGTCCCAGTGCCCTCCCAGTGTGTCCCAGTGTGTCCCAGTGCCCCCAGGTGTACCCACCTGACAATGGGGTACCTCCTGGGCCCCCTGTTGTGCGTGTCCCAGTGCCCTCCCAGTGTCCCAGTGCCCTCCCAGTGTGTCCCAGTGTGTCCCAGTGCCCTCCCAGTGTGTCCCAGTGCCCCAGTGTGCCCAGTGCCCTCCCAGTGTGTCCCAGTGCCCCCAGTGTGCTCCCAGTGCCCCCCCAGTGTGTCCCAGTGTGTCCCAGTGCCCTCCCAGTGTGTCCCAGTGCCCTCCCAGTGTGTCCCAGTGTGTCCCAGTGTGTCCCAGTGCCCTCCCACTGTGTCCCAGTGTGTCCCAGTGTGTCCCAGTGCCCTCCCAGTGTGTCCCAGTGCCCTCCCAGTGTGTCCAGTGCCCCCCAGTGTGTCCCAGTGTCCCAGTGTGTCCCAGTGCCCCCAGTGTGTCTAGTGCCCCCAGTGTGTCCCAGTGTGTCCCAGTGTGTCCCAGTGCCCCCAGTGCCCCCATTACCTGAGCACAGGGTATTTTCTGGGCCCCCTGCTGTGCACGTGGTGCCCCCAGTGCCCTCCCAGTGTGTCCCAGTGCCCTCCCAGTGTGTCCCAGTGCCCTCCCAGTGTGTCCCAGTGCCCCCATTACCTGACAATGGGGTACCTCCTGGGTCCCCTGTTGTGCACGTGGTGCCCTCCCAGTGTGTCCCAGTGTGTCCCAGTGTGTCCCAGTGCCTGTGAGTGCCCCATCACCTGAGGATGGGGTACTTTCTGGGCCCCCTGTTGTGCACGTGGTGCCCCCAGTGCCCTCCCAGTGTGTCCCAGTGTGTCCCAGTGTGTCCCAGTGCCCTCCCAGTGCCCCCAGTTCCCCCATTACCTGATGACAGGGTACTTTCTGGGCCCCCTGCTGTGCACGTGGTGCCCCCAGTGCCCTCCCAGTGTGTCCCAGTGTGTCCCAGTGTGTCCCAGTGTGTCCCAGTGTGTCCCAGTGCCCTCCCAGTGTGTCCCAGTGCCCTCCCAGTGTGTCCCAGTGTGTCCCAGTGCCCTCCCAGTGTGTCCCAGTGTGTCCCAGTGCCCTCCCAGTGTGTCCCAGTGTGTCCCAGTGTGTCCCAGTGTGTCCCAGTGCCCCCAGTGATGCCATTACCTGAGCACAGGGTATCTCCTGGTGCCCCCTGCTGTGCGTGGTCCCCAGTGCCCTCCCAGTGTGCTCCCAGTGTGTCCCAGTGCCCTCCCAGTGTGTCCCAGTGTGTCCCAGTGCCCTCCCAGTGT